GATTCTCTGAATCTTGTAATGATATTATGTACCATAATTAATTAAATCCCCAAGTTTTTTGCTTTTAACATTTAGCATTACACAACTTTACCAGTCTTTTGTTGCCCCTGTTCCAAATTTTTAGAAATGCGTTGCTGTCATCAAATTCAAATGGGCATATATTTTTCAAAAACAAAGTTTTAACATCTGAAATGTTGTCTGCGTACTATTTTCAATTAATTAATTTTTGGAAATGGGGTTGTACACATTTTGTGCTAGTTACGTACCTGACTGAGACCATCAAAGCTAATAAAGAACAGAATAAAGAATTTACTGACAAACGTTTCATTGAAACAAACATGTACACCAAAAGAATCCCAAGAATCAAATGCCTAACATCTTGTGTCTGAAGCAGCCAGACTCCATTTACAAAGCTGTAACCTGCAATCTGCAGCTTTTCTCCCAGCGAGCGTGCGTATGTGTGTGTGCGTAATGAATGCCAGTTTCGAGCTTTGCTGATGTGGCCTAATTAAATCTGCAGCGGAGCTTTCTGAAGTCTCAGACAGACAACTTTATTCACTGGTGAGCGGATGACAGCAGAGCGCATAGCTAGCGCTCTTCCAGACCAAACATATCTCCTCCAATCTCGCTAACACCAAAAACAGCCTTTCGTTCGTCTTGTATGTCTGTGTGTTGAAATACCCTCTCCTCACAGAACGACGTCTGGAGTAAAGTCAGTCTAGACTTTGGTAAACTGGGTCAGCTGCTAGCATGCGCATGAGCGTTCTGTGCATTTCTCCTCTTTCGCTACAGGCAAGCTTTCAGAGGAGAGAAAATAAACTGGTTTGGAGTGAGAGTGAAAGTTTACACTTGTGAGAAGCGATTAGCATAGCCATGCTAATGTAGACTAAAGCTAGGCTATGCTGCGCACAGCAGGTGCTCGCGACTGATGGATCTGTGCGGTGTTACTGTGTTACTTTTATTTTTATCTTGTCTGAATTTTACCAAGATAGAGAAACAGCTGTATTCGGCTTCAACTGAGAGACTTCTGTGATGTTTTTGTGCTAGCTATGCTTTTGCTATGCAAACATTCTGGAAATCTGCATATCTGGAAAGGGAAACTTCTCAAAATTAAAATTATATAAGACAACAGAAGTTATGAAGAGAAATACCAAAAGGGACCTAGAACTTCACATAAATGCTAAATTAAAAAGATATATTTTCAAATGTTTCTTAAAAGTGTGCACTGAGTTTGATGGCAGGGCCGCTTTCGCCACGAGACTCATGCATTTCACTCTAATCTCAAGCTTTCATGCCCACATTTCACCCACCATTTCTTACACATATTAACAAACCAACCTACTGATGAATCTGAACGCTCACACCCCCTGATCCAATACTATCCAACCCATGACCGAACATTACAGTAATCAACTCTGCATGTAAGAAGTGCATGAACAAGTTTCTCTGTGTCACTCTGAGATAGAAAAGGCTGAACTTTAGCGATATTTCTCAAATGATAAAAAGCTACTTTAGTGACTGTTTACATGTGGGATAAAACAGAACTCAGAGTCTAAGATCACACCCAGGTTTCATTCTTCAGGTTTGGTATGCAATGCAAAAAACACCAAGCTTCTCATAAAGTAGATGTCTCTGAGTTTTAGTACCAATGATCAGTATTTGTTTTTTTTTATTTAGTTGTGGCAAAGCATGACATTCACTGAGAAATATCTGACATACAACCGGTAAGCCTGTCAACAGAGTTTAGCTTTTTAGAAGGAATGGAAATGTATAATTGCGTGTTATTAGCATAGTTATGAGATTTGATTTCATGTTTTCTAATGACATCACCTAGAACTAACATATACAAAGAGAAAAGCAGAGGCCCTAAAACTGAACCTTGTGGAACTCCAAAGGAATTGATAGTTTTTTGGTGACTGATTTCCCAGTGAAACCAGAGGTGTTCATTCATAAATTTAAACCATTCTAAAACCTGAGATGCCTACCCAAATATGTGCTTATTGCTGATGCGCTTCATTTTTGCTTAAATCCTCTTGTATAAAGGTATAACATTTTAGGGTATCTGAGACTGAAAGCTTATGTGTTTTCTGCCAAGACATTAGCTGAGGATGATTTTGTCCATGCTCATGTTGCATAGATATGTATAAAATAACACAGTGACATAACACAAAGTCTTCCAGGCCTTTGAGTAAGCCTCTAAATAATTTAAATAAAAGAAAAAACATCACATTATAAATTTATAATTACAAACTGGTGGTATGTGCCTTCAGTTGACTTACACAGGGAAACATGTTACAGTATAATGCCATGTGCGGAAGTGGTCACATCAATCCTAATGCTGTGGACAACAGGATTTCTTTTGACCTAGATAACAATGGTGTTATGGAGAAAAGTACAATCTGAGAATATTTTTTAATCTTTGTGTTTTCATACTTAATTTAGCTGTTCACGTTGTATCGCTAGCTCAAGTTCCAGCATGAATGCTAATGTTACATAATGTCTATGTAAATACTTTGTAATTGTCCAAAATCCCAAAACAAAACAAAATGACTCTAGGGCTGTAACAGTTAATAATGATTTGACAGATTTCTTTTCCAAACCACTGTTAAAAGCACACACTAAAACTCATTTGTATATAAAAGTGGTTTGAGCTCCTTAATATTCATATCTGAAAGTTTACACTTTTTAGGTCCATATGTTGCTGAGTTTATAACACTATTAGTTTATATCGCTATTAAATTCAGCCTTCCGACTCCCTCGCTATTTGAACAAAACAAGAGAAGATGTGAAACGATTGTAAGGATAAAAGGATGTAAATTACATTTAATCAAAAACATTTAAAATGATCACTGTTAGATGTTCCTGCGAGGCATAAGCATAAAAATTATGGCTTTACATCATGTTTGGTGGCATTTGTCCATATCATACTAAATTTAGATGGACATGAATGGGTTATTTACTTAAAGGTTTGAGTGCTGGCATCACAACGCCTTTGGAATTATTCTCAAAACAGGACTTTTATTATTTCTTCCTTCACTTTAGAAGAAAAATAATAAATCTAAACAGACCTGTATTTCATTTAGTTAAGCTATTGAAAAGGGTCAAAGAAAACAGGCTCGTTAAAACATTTGAAAAGCTAGACTGGTCAGTGGTCTCAAGTAGCTGAATTACCTTGAAAATGATCAACAGAGATCATTTCAATGGGTTTCATATCCATTCTTCAAGCTGAATGCACACATCAGTGAGGACTCTGGATCATACAGCTATATTTAAGTATTTAAGTTTTTGCTGAGGATGTAATGGCCAAAAGGTTCATATTTGCAGTGTCCAGCTTAAATAAGAGCTGGCCTGTCTTACTGAATACTGTGAGTGTTCTAGCAGAACTCTCGCTTTCACTCACTGTCACTCGTTCTCCCCTCTCTCTCTCTCGCTCTCTCTCTCTCTCTGGTTCATCGATCAGGGTTAGACTGAGTGCCTGGGTGGTATGTTAGGTCGTGTGCTTTGCTGTAGTAATACTTGATAAAGCATTAGCATTGATTTCTGCATGAGGACATTCAGGCCCTGACTCAGCGTTAAATGTGGTGCAAGAAGAGTGAGAGGGATGGAGAGTAAGGAGGATGGATAGACAGAAAGATGTCTGACCTTGCTTTAGAATGCTAAAATTAATGAGCAAGGAATAGCTGAAGCACTTGAAATCTTGCATATGATGGACACTCGAATGGGCTTATTCTTTGTGTAAATAAACTACATAAAAGAGGAATGTTTGGATTTTACATGAAACTCTGATAGAACCTACATTCAGCACTTACATAGGCACTCTATGTCACTTAAAGCTGAAAGAAGAGGGGCAAAGAAAGAGCTGCTGTCAGGGGAAAAGATTTTGTAACGCAGCTTTTCAGTCACAGAGTTTTATTAATAAACGCAGACATATGCCATAACGTCCATGTAGACAGATTAGCTTTAAAATGTGGTGTAGAATGTGACATGGTGGCAGAAAAGTGTGACGGCAGACAGATGGAAATGTGCGAAATGAGAAATTATACTGTATATGTCCTCTACTGACACTGTCACAAATAATGCTTGAAAGCAGAAAGCAGAGTTGAAACACTAAAATGTCCAGTAGTTGGATATTTAATTCTGCCTTACTGGGATGATACTGTACACTGTATAGTAAAATGTATTTACTAAAGATGGCATGATACCAATATTTCCAATGTAAATAGTGATAGACCTACTGAAAACTTGAGTATACTACTACTAAGCTTTAGAATGAGCAATTTCCATTGAAGAACTTTACTTAACCCTTTAAATGGCCAGGGTCCTCTGGCAGGCCCAAAGTTTTATTATACTCTTCTATAACCTAAGATCAGCTGAGCCAGTTTGCATTAAACACCCAGTAGTTACTGAATAATAAGCCTCAGTATGTAATAAGTCTGGGATTTTAGGGGTTAAGATGAGCATCTAAAAGTAGCCCATCATACTTAAACTACTCAAACACTCTACCACCCTATAGGAAGAAACACACAGCTAACGTCATTACTAATCACAGCTAAAACCATGCTATTTCAGGACAGATTTGTTACGGGACTGGATCAGACTCATCCTTCTTTTCCTTCCGACACCCGATCCAACATTTTCTGCATGCTTAACTCATCATGTTGCCTGAAACTGTGTCGAGTTGTTAAGTAATCTCAAACAGACTTGCTTATGTGCTTTCTGACAATGCTGTGTATGAAAATGGCCTCTGAATGGCTACCACTACTGTTTTAGTTTTATTATGCATTATTCCTATAAACTGTTTCATGAAAAGCACTGACCAACCAATCCAGTGTCAATGGAAACTTCCCAAAAATCACACATAGGTACAGACCCCCTAAACTTCTGGATTGTTGGCATTTCTTTGAGAACATTGGTTTGGTGTGCTCTGGGCTTAACGTTAAGCTTAGCCCTAAAACCTGGCAATGAAAACTGAAATCTCAGCGTGCCAGGTCATGACTCACCTGAGGTGGCGGTAATCCTCCAGCCCCAGGAGGGCAGTCTGGGAGCATGATGTTGCGCTGGGGTGTACTGCACTGGCAATCCGGTGAGGGATTCTGCATGCTCCAGTTACCATTCGCAAAGATCTCCAGGATGGAGGGATCCACAGCAGGAGTGGACCAGTCAGTCGCTCCAGCAGGAACACACGGGTACTTGCTGAGAGGGGAAAAGGCAACACAATCATACTGTTATATACACTGACGTTCAATATTGTAGCCAAATTTGTTTCACAGACGGTAGTGGAATGTAAATTTGCCAGTATCTGATTGGTCAAATGGCACAGGATAAAGTATCTGTGTAATTTCTCCATATTTCCACATATAGGTCAGATTGAAAGCTCATAGCCTAGATGTACATATCAGTGTTATGCCATGGGACACATTCACTAACAATAACAACACAGGACACAGTTGCGTCTATTATCAGGTGTTATTAATCCTTTAGTAACAATAACAAGTACTGTATTCTTTTATCATGGTTAGCATCTTAGCTCATAGAGAGTGTGTTGGATCCAAGTCATAAAAAATTCAGCTTTTTTAGTCTTTCTAAGTTGCAAAGAAATCAGTCTAAATGAAGCAGGCAAAGCTGTACTGTGCTATACTGGATTAAAATCAGTCCATACTCCTCAATGCCAAACGGTAAATAGTCTAAGAGAGTTAATTGACTTACAAATTGGAAATTTATCGATATTAAACAAATGAATTGAGTTACTGGTTAACATAAAATGGACAACAATTACTGAAAGTACCTTTCAGTGAATGTAATCTTCATTTGATCCAAAGAAAATTCAATTCCAAAAAAGCCAAGCAATTGCATAGACTTTTTTCAGATTTTTCCATCAATAATTCCATGTCATGTTGTAACAAACGTGTGGCATAACTGAAACGTCATACCATGTTTTATTGTTTAAGTTAAAACCACACACACTGCAGATTTATACGGAGTTAAAATCAACTAAGGAAGAAAACTAGACCTCGAACACAAACATGACCTCTGGCATGTGGAGGAAGGTTTTATGGACTCTTCATTTTTTGTTAATAACTTTTTATTGATTTTTTTTTTTTAGTGAACATGCAATCAACATTCTCTGCATTCCCATGACACAAAAGGAAAAGGACCTGAGGGGCAGTTTTATGGAATTTTAATTAGTAATCGCCATTACTTAGATTGTGAGAAGCAGAGAATGCAACCATCTTTTGAACTTATGACTGAACTTTGTAGGTGTGAAATAATATCTCTGCAAATCTGAAGCAAGCCTCCAGAAAAGAAATGAAGCTGCTATAAAGACAAAGAACGGACATATTAAATACTGAACAACTAATCTAGTTGTTGTGGTTCTGTTAAATACTCATGTCTGTTTTTTTCCCCTGAAGCTGAAAAATCAATAACTTGTACTCAATAGTTTTTTTAACTGGAAATTAAATAAATATAGGGTAGAGATGTGGTTTTTGTGCTGTAATGTGGGTTTCATCAGCAATGTCTACATTCCGATGAGTGTGTATGTGTATTCACAGTAAAAAACTCATACAACACACACACACACACTTTGGCAGCACTCACGGTATAGGGTTGCTCTCCATGCAGCGTGTGCCAAACCCCGGCTCATTCAGGAGGGAACGAGTCACACTCACCACCTCCGCTACAGCTGGCCCGTCAGCACTGCAACACACACACACACACACACACACATGGCTGAGTCAGGACTTTCATCCCAGTCAGACCCATCAGGGTTAAGGTTCTAATCTCCTCATTACTGCCTGCTGCTCTCACACTCACTCTCAGCAGACTGGATAAATAACACCCACCCCGGATTACAGACAGAGCAACAGACTTGGTAAATATCACAATCATAAATATGACTAGCAGCCTTGCTGAGAAGGCCAGATTGAGTAAATATTGCATTGGAGAGTTGGGCTTCTGGTACAGCACAATAATCTTTCAGATATCTGAAAACCTCGTAACTCCACTGTTTTCAGTTTATTTTTACATCATTTTGTTAGCTCTGACCGTGTCTTCAACATACGCTGGTAGTGTGAGGGGAGACGGTGTGACCGAGGAACGGGAGAGAAACCTGGGCCGGAGTTCTGGGTGGCTTTTGCCTTGAGCCAGAAGGCTAGACCCCTCAGAGGAGTATGGACCTCTGAAGTCGTGTTGTTATTCTGTGGCTGGCGTCATGCCCATATCAGGAACAAGTGACAAAAATGAATGGCATTTTTGAAAATTGTCCCTGCTGCACCCTGTGGTAAACTAAAATGTTCTAACGTCAGTCCTTATTGCAGAGAGGGACATTATAGTGGGGCTGCAGTGCATAAAGCCCTCATTAAAGAGACGAATGCACCATTTGAGAGTTCAGCGGTGCTAAAATCATTGGCACTGGTCCACAAAGATGTGGAAAAAGTGATCTGGTCAGAAGAGTCATCTATCACCATATTCTCCACAAGTAGGAGGGTGCACACCAAAAGAACACTGCTGCCTGAATGCTTGTCCCCTATAATGAAGGGGTGTGGCTGTTCTGTTAAGCTGTGGGGGGCATTTTGCTGGCATGGTTTGGTAGATGTTAGATTTAAGTGTGTTCTCTGAAGCGGATGTGTTCTCTTATTTTGACATTTAGAAAATCAACAAAACATCATTTGCCCAGAGGTGTTCAAACTTTTACTGTATAACCGTATAAGCTCTCTATGATGGCTAGGCTGGACCTGTGTGGGTGTGTACCTGTAGAAGGTGTTCTGAGGTTTTCCATACATCCATGGCTGCAGCTCCAGACTAGGATACTCCACAAATGGAGGGACAATCAGAGAGAAGATCAGAGACAAACACACAAAGAACGCCGGGAGGACCACCTACACACATGCAAACACACACACACACACACACACACACACACATATTAGTAATACTGCCTTTGTGGGGTGTTTTGTGTGCTTCTGTAAGAGTCTGAGTCAATGCTGCTTACAAATATTTTACACATAAGGGTGTTAAAATGCTTTGTTAACACTTTCAATGTATCCTGTATTCATAGTGCTTATATATGCATTCATAAGGCGTTATATGGCACATATAATACCTTATAGTGCCTGATGTAAGCTTTTAAAATTGCTTTAAGTGGTTATAGTGAAATACATAACACTTAATAAAACGACTAAACTAACACATTATAACATCTGTTCATAGAAACACTGTAAACATGAATGTAATGAATAATAACAATATAACAAGCTTCTGCTAAATTTTCTGCATTACAGCAGACTCTGGTATACAGTCAGATAAATATTTGCTGGGTATAATCACTTCTGGGACATTGGAGAAGATTCTCTGTGGAGGGAGAGAAAAAGGGCTGATTTTTGGTGGACCTGGCACCCAAAAACATAGATTTTTTTTAAAAGCATAACTTTCATACATAGTGTGATTTTGACTGAGTTTATTTAATGTTAGCTAACTGGAAACTGTCATGCTAGGTCTGTTAGCAACAGGTGCTAGGCTGTCAGCAGCTAGCAGTCAAAGCTAAATGGTTAGCAGCACAGTGAATGGCTTTATATTAGCCAGCAGACAACAACAGTAAATGACAGCAGCCTTGTTTAGGAATAGAGCTAACAGTAGCACTAAGCTAGCTTTTCTCATTACATGCTCTGAGTTTTTCTATCAAGTGTGTGGGATATGTATGTCATATAATGCCTCATAAATGCATTTATAATGAATTATGAATACAGGATTTATAGGAAGTGCTACCTAAAATTGAATAATGTATGTATCCTAAACTGAAACTGGCTTGGTTTTATTGAAACTACTTGAAAATAAATGTGTTTATGACTTTAATTCCACTACGACATAAACAGTTGCTTCATTTGTACATTCAGTGTATTTTTAGACGGAACTGGCTTGTAACTCACTTAGTCAGACTAAAGATTATCCACAAGTGGGCAGTATTAGCACTCAAACAGCTTTTGGTGCTTCACATCAGTGACAAGGTGTGTCCTTGTTAAAAGTAATTCTGAATCGTACCAAAATAATCGCAACCAAATCTCACAGTGTGGTCAGAGGTTCACATTGATAGTACTAAGGAGCTTTCTTTATCCTCACATCAAGAAGTTCATGTTTTCATTATCCTGGAGATGTTTTACCACTTTGTGGACACTAGTACTAACACTATTGATCATATTGGTAATCAAATGATCTACCAAGTATTCAGACGATTAACTGAATAAACAAACATCTTTAAAAAAAGGCCAAATAGTAAAAATTGACGTAGTGTAGCCTTTTAAAGATTTCAAAATATTTTACTGAAAAAGGCGATTTTGGAAGCGTTTGCTGCAACAGAGAGCAGGGGGAGAATTTAAATATGCATAATCATCATGAAAGCTGCTGAGCAATCATTACTGATTCATAGAGAAGGAACATTTCAATCCATTATTTTCTGAATCAAGTAATCGAGTCTAATCAAGTAATTGTGACAGTTCTACCGGGGGCCAAAACACAGTTTAAACCGTTCTGTTTTAGCTGTAAACAGTTCAGATCTCTCTGTGTGTAGATTTAGTGAGTGGTGTGCAATTAACTGGAGAAGAAGAATAGTGTGGGCTTTCAGTGCATCAGCCACTAATCAGCATCAGCAGTGTTTCTCAATCTCTCTCTGTGTCTCTCTTTCAACAGTGCTTTGCTGGCATAAACGATAAGATGTACTATTACCTCTACGGCTTACACTTCCGTCTCTCTGTCTCTCTCTCTCTGTCTGTCTGCCTCCCTCTGTCTATCTCTCTCTGCCTCAGTCCAGTTCAAGTTTGCCTTATTGACTTGACAAATTTACATTTATATATATATACATCTATATAAATAATACAAAATGTCTTTGTATGTCTGTCTCTCTCTCTCTCTTTCTCAGACAGTACTGTGTTTGTTTTGGCTGGGCTGTAAAAGGCTCTGATTAAACACTCTCAGGCAGAGTCACACCTCCTTCCACCCATCCATTCATTTCTGTCTATTCTTCCCTTCCACACCCCCATCTCTCTCTCTCTCTCTCCCTCTCTCTCTCTCTCCCTTTCCCCCCTCTTTCTTTCTCTGCCATCTCTTTCTCTCTCTCTCTCCCTCACCCCTCTGTTCACTCTGTCTTCTCAGCCTGACGGAGAGAGCATGCTAACTCCACAGTAATGTTAATGTGTGATGGCTGCGGCTGGCAGTGCTGTGCGGTGAAGAGCCTTTCACTCTGAGCTTGATTAATTACAGCAGCCGATTCAAACCTTGGCGGAAAAATGCAAATGCGGCTGCGAGCGAGAGCCTCCAGGAGAACCGACAACAGAATAATGAACAAGGGGACAGAGAAAAGGAGAAAAGGAAAGAAAAAAGACAATAGAATCTCTCTCTCCCCCCAGAGACAAATGCTGGATGACAACTATTGTCCCAGTGTAGTCTTTAGGCTCATATACAGGCAGGAAATAAGAGCAGCCGCAGAGGAATGTGCTGATTTGGGTGTATGGCTGTATTGTGTTTGTGTTACCTGAGCGATGATTCCTTTCCTGCTTCTTCGTGCGTGATGAAAACGCTTTATGAACAGGGCCAGAAACTGATGCCTGATCAGAGGCCAACCAGTAATAACGCACGAGCCTTTACCGTTTACACACACGGAGCGCTCACCGTCTACAAGACACACAAACGCACAATGTCATCACACACACATGCTCACATTCATACTAACCAAGTCTCTCCTTTTGATATTTATTGTAGCCTTCTGAACATTAAAGAGCCCATATCATACATTTATTACTTTTATTTTCTATTGTAAAATGGATAGCTCTGGTCCTAAAATCTGAGTGGCTGAGCTGCGCTCATAGCCATTATAAAATCCACGAAATTGCACATATGACCGCCTCACAACAACTGAACTCTGTCTTACTGCGTAGCGGCACGAAAAAAAACCTCTGTGCTGTTAATGATATAATCTTTGACTCTCATGCTGCTTGCATGTACTGATTAAGTAGGAACCTGTTTTCTGTTTAAACTGATGGGCTGGCAGCTTATGTTCTTAACTAGAACTAGGCTGGTCAGCTGGCTAACAGGCTAAAAGGTAGCCAACAGCCTAAACAACTCCATCATTAAAATCACAGGCTTGAATTAAAGTACTTACGATATGATTAACTGTATAACCGCAGTATGAAAGCATAAAAATGCCACTTGAATGGCTTACGTGCTTCAAATGTCCGTGTTTCAGTCAGAAGTCACGTCAAACCCAGGCTGAATGCCAAACGGCTCAGTATTCCCTAAATAGTGTGCTAGGTATGAAAGTTTAGAAATTATAGCATCTACAGCCAAAGAGTGCATCATTTATCAAGTATGGATGCGGCTGATTCCTGAATGACTGTTTCTTAGCTGTATTTAGCACGGTTGGAGGCTGAATCCAGTATTTAAATTCCTACGTAGTGTACTATGTAGTGAGCAGGGAGCCATTTCAGATACAGCCCCACCACGAGAAGAGGAGGGCTGCTGGATTGGTGCTAAATAAGACTTGCGGTGGTAATTTGGTGACCAAAAAGCATTTATAAAACAAAGGTTCTTGTATTAAAAATATTGTGTTATTATATGTTCATTCTCATATGACAAAAAGTTCAAATTTATTAAATGACCACAATATACAACAATAGATGGGCGACCAAACATTCTTATCATTCATTAGTCTATGGTTGCTCGACAATGATATCATACTCTAAAGGAACTACATTTCTTGGTGGAATACTTTTTTGTTTATGTCCATTACTATTAATAATGACTTAAATTATTGTGTATTTTATCATATTTTATGTTGGCTGCCGTTTTATGCCTAAAAACACCCTTCCCGTGATAAAATCTCTGTAACCCATGGCTTTTCATAGCTTAGTACTAAGAATTTACTCAGAATTTATTATACATAACAATTTCCCAGCCTGTCTTTATCTTTTAGAATGAAACATGCTGTTTTTGTTTTTGTGTCTTTAAGAGTGAGATATGGAAATGACCTCTGTCCTGGATGACTGGCCCTGTATTGTGCCTCGATCAAAAGGCAATCTGGGCAGAAATGTTGAATAAACTGTGAATGTGGAGTGAAATTTTATGAATGGTTGAAAGCTGTAGGTTGTTTATGTTGTATCTTTGCAGCTGTTTTGGGGATATTTTAATTTAAAGGGGTTGTTTGGTTGTTTAAACAGTGGTTGTTCCAGGTGGTTGCACTTCAGTAGGAATGGGTGGTGTGACATGTGTTCATGGTTGTGACATTACAAACCACAATGTATTCAGAATGGGCTTTTTTGCAGCTTAGATTCCATCTATAGGCCGTATGGAGTGGGGAGGAACATTTTGAAATGTTAACAGAATTTACACTGTACAATAACCTGGTTTAATTAAAAAAGCAAGGAAAATTGTAGTACTTTAATACTTGTTTTTTCAGCTTTAGCTTTGTCTTTATTTTTGGCTAAAGGGGCTCTGCTCAACAGTGGAACATGGCACTCTACATACCTGCAACTCGATTCGAGAACCTTCCCTTCTTCTCTCCTGCAGAGAGAGAAAGAAAGACAAACAGAGAGATTCAATAGGCATATTCCACACATTTCTGGATATTTCAAAAATATTTTATGTTTTAAAAAAAATTTAAAATCTTTGTCCACATCAACAAAAGATAAATAAAAATATATGAAGTCCACACACAAACGGAAAATGATTCAAAAAATGCTCGGCACAGTAGAAAGCAATAAAACCTCAGAAATCTTGAGGTCAAACACCTCAAGAAGAACAAAAAAATATGTCCAGATATGTGTGGACTGGGCCTGAGAAACAAGAAGTACACTGGCATGGTTTAAAATACTGTGTAAAAATGATAATCTGCCTGCATGTATACCAGCATGTGTGTGCGCACAGGTTTGTAGGCGTGTGTACCATGTTTAGAAGCTTCACTCTCTCTCTGCTGCATGGCTGAACTGATGCTCCGTGTTCTGGACTCTCTGGAGCTCCTCTTCCAGTCTCGCTCCAGCGCATCTTTTTTATCTGACCAAACACACATGCACTATTGTTCAGAGGTTTAGAATAACTTTGGAGTCACATTAAAATGTTTTTTGACGCAAAGCAACTCACTCACTCAGACACCCACCAAAAATCCACTCAACCGCCCACCAATCAATCCAAATATCCACCCAACTGTTCACTCAGCCCACCAACCCACCCAGATATCCACCCAACCGTCCACTCAGCCCACCAATCTATCCAGATATCCACCCAACCGTCCACTCAGCCCACCAACCCACCCAGATATCCACCCAACCGTCCACTCAGCCCATCAACCCACCCAGATATCCACCCTACCGTCCACTCAGCCCACCAGCCCACCCAGATATCCACCCAACCGTCCACTCAGCCCACCAACCCACCCAGATATCCACCCAACCGTCCACTCAGCCCATCATCCCACCCAGATGTCCACCAAACCGTCCACTTAGCCCACCAACCCACCCAGATATCCTATTAACTGTTCACTCAGCCCACCAACCCACCCAGATATCCAACCAACCGTCTACTCCACCCAACTGTCCACTCAGCCCACCAACCCACCCAGATATCCACCCAACTGTCCACTCAGCCCACCAACCCACCCAGATATCCAACCAACCGTCTACTCCACCCAACTGTCCACTCAGCCCACCAACCCACCCAGATTTCCACTCACCCACTCTCCCACTTACCTAACAACCAACCCACTTACTCACTCACTCACACACTCATCCAGGCAGCCACTCATCCATTCACCAGCCCACCCACCCACTCACTCACCGAGATTTCCACCTATATCTGCCCACTTGCCCACTCACTCACTCACTCATCCAAATGGTAACTTGTATGGAAACTGTAATGTTGTTGGTTAAATATACTCAGTCTAAAGCTCTAGTTTGCCTGGTGGGTGAGTAACACATAGCCAATAAACTGAGCACAAGGCCATTCATCATTACAGAAGCCAATGTTTTGTCCCTTTAAAACTGAAAATTTCGATTATATTTGAGTAAATGGGTTTGAACTGAAGTGAATTTATGTTGACCCCTGCAAGGACACGTCTAGTCTTTAGGAAATAATACTTATTATGAATTATGCCATGAACACACATATTTTCACACATTTTTCTTGGTTCTTTATAAAACTCTGGAAAAATATTACCCTGTTGTGTCATTCTTAGCTTCAAACACGAATACTTTTTTTAACCTAGGCACATTGTTAAAATACATGTTGAATGAAAGCATCTCAAGCTGCATTCCTGCTCCATGGTCACAGAAAGAGAGAAAAACATTACCAGTAGTTTCAACATCGACGCCCGTCTCTTCTGCCACTTTTAGAAATATCTAAAAAAGAGATATAGAAAGCTATAAACTGATAAACAGTTAATTATTGTTTACGAGCAGCCCAGGAACATTCTTTAAATAAGAATAAACACATTAAAATATTTTGTTAATCAAAATGATATCCACAATAATTACAGTAGTAACCTGAGTGTTCCATCTTAAACATATTCATTTCAGTTTCCTTCACTGAAAACAAAACCGAAAAACATATTCTCACTTTAACACTGGATATATGAGCCTGAATTGTAGATGAGAATATTGTATATGTAATTATATTGAGTTTATTAAAAGTTATATAGTGATGCCACTCCCCTTGCTGCCCTTACAATACACCCTATTGATAGAAAATGCATTTAAGTATGATTTTCAAAAAAGTGTGTATAAAAAAAGTACACAATTTTAAGGTTTACTCTTTAAACATACTTTTATGCACACTAACTGTACTGTTTGGCACAACTTATGCCAACTGAAGTGTATTTAAATTGTAATTAAGCTATGATCAAATGTATATTAAATGCATTTAGTTGTCCTTTGAGTGCTTTTCTGAACTTTAGTCACACTTAAGTAGATTTAGGCATGTATTTTGTAGACATAATTGTTATTACAGTTGGAATATATCATAAATATGTAATTGAATGACTGATACACTTCAGTGCTACTCATTGAGTGGACACAGCAGCTAAAATACATTTTAAAAATGCATTTTTAGTTATATTTCTAAATATTATTATATAAACCTAAATACTTTAAATGAAACATGCACTCAAGTGTACTTTTGTAAATAATGTATACAATTCACCATATTATTCAGAAAAACTAAGCCTGCTCTCAGCCAAAACAACAAGAAAACACTTTCACAAATGGAGTGATTCAAAGCAAATTTCAGCCAACTTTAATTAAATTTGGTCATTTATTAACCAAAGTGCTTATAAACTACCAGAAAGAGCAAGAAATAATAAAGTAGACAATGTGATTACTTTGCACTACTGTGGCATCCTGTAATACTGAAACTATTCAAATTACAGTTCTATTATCAAATAAAAAATACAATTCTAATTTAAAACACAACCAAAACACAAAATGAAGTCAGCTGTGCAGTTTCACTACCATCACTTTGCTCAAGCTCAGTTTTGGGGAGGTCCCCATAGTTGGTGCCCAGGTTTGTGAGTTTGTATGTGTTTTCATGAGAGTGTTCACAGGTCTGAGTGTGTATACCTCCTCCAGGGTGGTATCTGAAATGCCATAGCTGCTGATGCCCAGCCTCTCTCTCTCCAGGTCCAGCTCTTTGAAAAGTGAAGCGAAGGTGCCGTCTTTAGAGCCGGTGTAGGGGAGAATGTACACCAGCTCCTGACCTATGATCTCTAGAAACTCCGCCTCCGGAACATGCCTCCGCACCAGACCGCTCACATCCGCTACATCTGAACAGAGACAGAGAGTGTGTGATGGGTTTGAGAGAGTGTCTGATGTCACACTACTGACGCCACTGTGTTTATGTAAGGTGTATGAAAGAGAACTGACCTGTTGGCTCCACGCTGCAGACGCTGGCTGAGCCGATTCCTTCGTCTAGACTGCCGATGTCACTCTGCTGGACAGCACACATGCACACGATCCACACAGACACACGTACAGCAGTGTTGGTGTTATTAAGGTAATCTACAAACATGCACAGGCTAAGGGGTAGCTGAGTTGCACAAGAAAAAACTACACCCAATCTATTCTAATATTCTTTCACATCCATACAAAATAAAAATCATCTGAAATTAGGAGGGGAAAGATTGTAAACAAATAAAGTTGCATTGACACCAGCAAAAAATGCTGGAAAAGTTAAAGCAGTTACAAATAACTGTTGATTGTTTCTGATAACTTTATAGGGTTTATATTTCAGATGGTTGCTAGGGTGTTGCTAGGTGTTTGCTATAGTATTTCAGCTGGTTGTTGGGTGATTTCAAGGTCACTGCTATGGTATTGATAGTTTGTTGCTAAGGTGTTGCAAGGCAGTTGCAAAGATATTCAAAGTGGTTGCCAGCCTGTTGCTGGTTGCTAGCTGGTTTCTCTCATGGTTGCAAGGGGGTTGCTATGTGGTTGTTACAGTGTTCCAGGTGGTTGCATGGGTATTGCTAAGTGGTTGCTATGGTATCTGTGGTGGTTGCTAGAGGGTTACTAGACAAGGTGAGAAATGTCCATTGTGACGTCATTTGCGGCAGTTAAAATTTAAAATTTATGCTTCCTGAAAGGCTGAATTAGGTTTAATGGGATTCGGCAACACTCTGGAAAGCTTGTAGCAAGAGTATCTATGAAAGAATGCATAGAGGGGCAGAGCATGAATAGGTCAGTTGGCTGTGTTGTTATTAGGTCTCTCTCTCTCTCTCTCTCTCTCTCTGTTGGGAGCATTTTCTGGTCACTACAATTGGGCAACAGCAATATTGTAACTAACAAACGCATTTTTTCATAATTCAAAGACACAAGCTGTCCTCTACATTGTGTAAACGTCATAATAAGTGGTCCAAGACAAATTTTGAAAATCAGATCTTTCTAGTTTTTTAACGACACTGATAGATGTTAAGAATGTTTTTCCTTTTCCTATAAAGTCACCATCTTGGAGATGTAATCTTTTCTTACAATGACGATGATTTACTATATATTATACCTGCCTTTATCCTGCTTAGCTGGAAGCACTTTAAACTATAGCTAGACAGTTGTGGGAATTGACAATGACTACATTCTCTCTCTCTCTCTCTTTCTCTCTCTCTCTCTCTCTCCTCTGTCTGAGGATGAGGTCACCTGTGTGTCAGAGCTGTCTTTATTTTTCTTATCACTGACTTCAGCTCCATCTCATAATCAATAGAGAATTAGTCATTTGTCATGATGTAGGAGCAGCTAAATGTCAATAAGAATCTATCAAGCAGGTGCTTAATTGTATTCAGATAATAAGAAGCTTTACATCACTGTGTTACCTGAGATGTTTCATCGCAGTTAATATAATTGGACTATGGGTCTCTGGATGTTGCTTTTTGAGATTACCGAGGAATTTTTTCTGGGTGAATGGAAGTTGCTGAGCGTCTGCAATGCTGTAATTTTATGCTCCCAATGATAGTGAAGTCTGGCTAATCATAAAAGCTCTGAATGTTCTTAGTGCGGTAGTCCTTTCATATAGTTTAGGATACCTGAAACACTATGTTTTCTACACAAAACATAAAATACATTAAATGTTTCAATTATTTCAATATTTATTATAATGTTTTTTTTTATTTTAAAGGCACCACATCTTACATTTGTCTTGTATTTCATTTTTCTATTTAAGCTCCATTTACAAAGGGGAATGTCACCAATTTTTCACTGTTTCTCTATGACTAAATCAAGATGTAAATAATGTAATTTAGAGCAGTTTAATGTGAAATCTCTCTGAGAAATATTTACAGTGGTACTGACAGGAACCAGATGTCTGAATTGTGTTTAATGCCTCTAAATGCTTCCTCAAAGAAAGTTAACACATGAAATGGTTATGAAAACACTACAATGTTTTGGTCTAAAACATTTGTTTGAAACAATTCATTGTGAAGAGGGACATACAGAATGTCATAAGGCAAAATCGTCCCCAAATAAAACCTTTATTTTCCACTATTTTATCGTCGTCAACATTCAATATAAAAACTCAGAAGACGTGTAGGTTCACTGTAGTATTGTATAGTAAATAAAATGGCTATATTAGTGTTGTAGACATCATTACCCCTGGTTCCTATCACCATCACAGTAAAGAAAGAGTCTATGCCTACTATACTCCTACTACTAAAAATAATAACAACAAGTACGTTCAAGGTCACCTTCAGGACACCCGCACTATCATACCGGTTTGTACAGGTTGTTGAATTTGTCCTGATTGGTCCGTACGAGGGTGAGGTAATATCCGCTGCCATATGTTTTCTTCAGGAAGAGGGAGGAGCCACAGCAGCACACACGACCATGAGAGATGATCGCAATACGGTCCCCCAAGATATCCGCCTCATCCATGTGGTGCGTGGACAGAATGATGGTCCGGCCTGGAGGAGAAAGGGATAGACATAGAGAGAAAAATAGAGAAAGAAAAAAAAAAAAGAGAGGGAGAAAAAAATTAGGTAGAATAAAGGGAGGGGAAAAAGAGAGAGAAAAAATACAGAAAATCAAAAAAAAGACAAAGTCAGACCGAGAAACAGAGAGAGAGAGAAAGAGATAAAGAGAAAGAAGAAATACAGAGAGAAATAGTGAAAGAGAGAATGAGAGAAAGACAAAGAGAAAGAAAATTTAAAAAAATGAGAGAGAAGGAGAATTATACACCCACACTCATATATATACAATCTTTGTTGCAAGTGCATGCTTAAGTGTGGTTTAGTCCTTTGTATGACGGAGCTTTATGGAGGGGATGTAAGAGCAGAGTATAAATTAGATTAATCTTAAATACACTGTGTGTGTGTGTGTGTGTGTGTGTGTGTGCACCATCCTGGAGTGGACATCTGTTTAATCTGTATGATGGATGGTGAAAGGATCATGTGACCTGAACTGGAATAACAACCACAGACGTCAAATACACACACACACACACACGCAGGGGTCTGTCTCGCAAAGCTCATTTATCTTAAGCAGGGTTCCTGGCTAAGTTTTAGCTTCATGAAACCTAATGAATGTAGCTGCAGTCAACTCATTTAACAACGGTGGTCAACAACTTTCTCTGTTAGCCCAGCTGTGATTTTGCGGGGAAAATTTGGCAGCGGCTTTTATCAATACTTTATAACTTGGAAGTTAAGTGTATCTGAGAAACAAAAACACAGAGACATACAGACTTGAGGTTTAAAAATATTTAAACACTGATTTAAACTCTCAAGGAAAGTAGTTTTTAATATTTCATACTTAAATTATGCAATGAAAATGCTTGTATTCAAAGTAAGTACAGTATGTCTACAGTTGAATAGGAAAGAAGGAGAGAAGAAGCATTATAAGCACGATAAATTGCATCCAGGTCTTCATTAAGGTCATGGAGACTTTTTGACATAGTTTAGTGCAGAGGAAGACTTACTGTAAGCTATAAAAATGAACAAAACTTCACAGTGTAGCTAAATGCTGTCATCAGATATTATAGACATGCTGAATTCGACTCTCCTTTGTGTTCACGCAGGTATATGAACACTAGATTATGTTCACGTTTTCTGTTTTTTCCTACATTTCCATCACAAAGAAATACACAAAAACAGCTGTCACTACTAGAACACGTGCCTAAATTACTCACAGGGACAGGCACGGATAATCTACATAGAGGATAGAGGAGTCATGTATAACTAATATGACTAATGCAAGTAATAAAATCTATGTTAAGCCAAAGCCGGGTAATGTGTAACACTACTTTGTTATAGAAAAGTAACTACATTACTTTAATGCAATAACAGATCAGTCCACAAGAAGTGTGTATCTTTCACCATTCAGTGAGTTATTCATGCTCATTGTACTTCTGTACTAGTTCAGCTCCTTCGGCATTTTACTGCACTTTAATCTACATAATATTATGTTTAGAGTCAGACACACACATCCCTCATAATGTGTAAACTCTATACAGTTTTAACTAAAGCCAAGATAAACAGCTGTTTCGTTTGTTTATGTTCAATTTAGCAACCATTGTTTGTGATAATGATAGTTTCTAATTGAGACTGGAACACATTAGGAGGCACAGCAGAGGATTTAAACCTAAAAAATATGGACATTTTCAGCATTTTTGCTTTGAATTTGACAAATATTCAAATGTCAAATTTTATTTTGACAGCACACAAACACACACACACACACACACACACACACACACCCACACACACACACACACACACACCCACACACAAACACACACACCCACACAAACACACACAAACACACACACACACACACAGAGATCGGTGCACAAGAAGTGTGTATCTTGCTCCATTTAGCGAGTTATTCATGCTCATTGTACTTGTGTACTAATGCAGCTCCTTTAGCATTTTACTGCTCTTTAATGTACATGAGATTATGTTTAGAGTCAGACACACACAGATACACAGAAATCAAATTCAGAATGTTCCCTTGTTTGTTGGTCACATATTAAAATATATTCAGTTTTTAAACACGTTACATTTTTTAAATCATATGTGATTTTGCAAAGAAAACAAGCAAGAAGACAACTAACTGCAGTAAACGGTACATTTTTAAGTCAACGTTATGTCTCCTATATCCACCAGACGGCATTCAGCCTAAATTTTCAAGCGACTCCAAAAGCACACGGAGTGATTCTCAGTCTAGGGGTCACGACTCAGAAGATGGTTTAAGGACTTTTCCATGAAACCTCTCAGTGATCTCTCGCTGTCATCACACACTAAAGAGAGCGGTTGTGCTGGACTGTGGTGAAAGTTTGTAGCTGGTGTGGGCGGCTGAAGTAGCCATGTAGCAGCTTCTCTACCTTATAAATATTACATGAGTATTAGCTTACTCTGCTACAAACTAGTCAGAAAGTCTGCCAACTAAAGCACATCATTTGATTACTTCACATGATCCTTTTTAGCGTAATTCAGTTTATAAACTGAATTTATATTTCATATCACCTAATTCAGAATGACTAAGCTGCTAAATCTGTTGGATGTTCGCAAATTTACTCATAATGTGTAAAACTCTATACAGTTTTAACTAAAGCCAAGATAAACAGCTATTTTGTTTGTTTATGTTCAATTTGACAATCGTTGATTGTGATAATGTTAATGTCTAATTGGGACTGGAACACATTAGGAGGCACAGCACCTAAACCTAAAAAAATTGAGATTTTCAGCATTTTTTCATTGAATTTGAAGAATATTCGAATGTCAAATTTTATTTTGATAGCCCAAACACACACACACACACACACACACACACACAGAGATTAGTGCACAAGAAGTGTGTATCTTGCTCCATTTAGCGAGTTATTCATGCTCATTGTACTGATCCCCTCTGTGACATTCATACATACACCTACATCTACAGGGAGCACAGCCCTCCAGAGAGAGAGAGAGAGAGAGAGAGAGAGAGAGAGAGAGAGACAGAGAGAGACAGAGAGAGAGAGAGAGAGAGAGAGATGGCTGTGGTTAGCAGGTTTGATTTATGATGTGTTATATCAGAGAGCGCAGTGATCGATCATGGACAGGCGAAACACTGCAGTTTTTCAGCCTTACACCCACACACACACACACACACACACACACACCTGTTTCCATTAATGATGCAATGTTTTCCAAAGCTGTGACTCAAGGTAAAGAAAAGAGATGGAGGTTTCACTCTGCTGGGTGTGTGTGTGTGTGTGTGTGTGTGTGTCACGGACGCTGGTAAAAATTTTGGGCCCCTTGAAACTTTCGTGAGCCTTTTGCCTCACCCTATTTCCCTCAGCAGAACCCATCACTGCATGAAAACTTGCCAGAATTTTCATAATACCCATATCCTTTATTCTGTTGTAGCTCCATAACTCCAACTCTTACTCAGCAAGCTGTGAATTACCTATTTTTAGTACTTTATTGTACTGAGTCTCTAATGCACAATTTCTACTTATTTGCAGAGTTCAACATATCGGACAAAAAAAAAACAAAATATAAAACGTGCTAAAACGTTATTTATGTTTTATTTTTTTTCCAGTATTTTAAAGTCAGCAAATAAGCAAATACAGATGTATTACTTATTTTCACTTGGAAAATCAACAAAACACATAATTTGATGGGGGTGTCAAAACTTGCATACAACTGTATAAAAACATGACTGCATATCAATTTTTTGTGTCCAACTGACAGAAATTTTCAGCTGAATTGTCTGTCTAGTAAAGCCCAGATGCAATTAGGATGTGGTTTAATTTGGTGATCTAATACTAATGCGATAAATTAATAAAACATTTTAATTTTACATGTACAATTTTGCCTGTCAGTTTTGCTACAGTCATGCACAGTCATTACTCAAACGCTGTTCTTCCACCGTTCACAGCAGCATCAGTCTCTATATGGCTTTAAATAATGAGCCTTTCATTTTAGAAAACCCTTCAGAACAAAGAGCTACACTCAGTAAATGCAGTGTTTTAAGGAAAGAGGAAAAACAGCTTGATACAGTCTATATAGCAAGTACGCTAGCTTTTGCAGTAGCTAATTTAGCTGAAGTTGTGAGCTAATCTAGCCATAGTTTTACTATTGATTAGCTATTAGACTATCTAGCTAGCAAACTAATCCACTGTTTTAGGTTGTTGTGCTTCTTTTCTTTCAAACATGACATTTTGTCTGTGTAGCGCTTTAGTTCTGTCCGTCAGTCTGAGAGTTCTTCTGTAATGAAAGGTTTGTTATTTGCAGCTATGTCAAACTTGACAGGTTTATTTGCAATACCTGTAGCCAATAATAGAGCAAAAAGCCACGAGATGTCGTACGTTACTGCAATGTTTTCATGGGAAGGGTGTTCTTATCCACGACACAAAGCGGTGGCCAACATAAAATATGATAAAACACAATTTTTCAGAAAATAAGTTATTATGAATAATAATCGACACAAACAGATGTAGTTCCTTTAGAGTATGGTATCATTGCCAAGCCACCATGTACCGCTGAATGAGGAAAACATTCGTCCATCGCTGTATACTGCAGTCATTTCGTGAACTTTTTCATTTTTTTCATATAATAATTAACATATGATAACACATCACTGTTTAATGCAAACACTTTTGTATTATAAGTACTTTTTGGTCACCAAGTTACCTTCACTGATTTTATTTAGCACTCTGTTCTCAAGCTGGAGCTGAAATTCGAATGGCTCCCTGCTCCCTACATAGTGCACTACATAGGATTTTAAATACTGGATCCTGCAGCCCAACAGTGCAAAATATGCTAAGAAACAGTCATTTGGGACTCAGCCACATCCATACTCAATAAATGATGCACTATTTGGCTGTAGAGGACAGAACCTCTAAACTTTTATAGCTAGCAAACTATTGAGGAAGTACGGAGCCATTTGGGATTCAGCCTGGGTTTGACGCTAAACTGAAACACGG